TTTAACTGAGGAAAACATGAAATAAAGGATGTCATTATTGTGCAGTTGGTGAAAATTGCAGCGGAGATTAACGGAAGATTTGTTTTGGTTGGGAGGAAATAATTACTAAAATTTCTCTCAATTTCTGTCGCTAGTTATTATATTGTATGTTCTTGTTGCCGAACTATTCCGTCTGAAATTTGTAACTGTTAGATCAACTATCTATGACAGTTACATGATTATTTGATGGTTACAAATAATTTCGTAATTGTAGTATTTTCCTATTTTATTATTGTGGCATCAATTGAGTTGCGTGAGAGATGGTACAAATGAAGTTTATAATTTTTTTCACGGTTTTAGTATGAAGCCAACAGTTGGCTCTATAATGGAGCCAACTTTCTATATACAACAAATAAACCTACCATATTTTCTGATTATTTAAATAAATACTAATAATTTTACTAATATGGTATGATATACTTGTTGTATATAGAAGGTTGGCTCTACCCCAGAGCCAACTGTTGGCTTCATAACATAACCGATTTTTTTATCACAGCCAGCTGAACTTTATCCTTTCTTACATGCTTCATTAAGTTCATCCTCGCGTTCTATTTTTCTAATTAACTAACTTAAAATCAACTCAACACAGCTTTCTTAATTTTTATAAATATATTGAAATAATATCAATCAATCTCTCTCACAAATCACATAAATTTTAATTCACTATTCACACACTCACATAATTTTAATTGTTTATCAGTTTCAATAATATTTCTCATATTTTTATATCATATTAAAATTAATTATTACATTTCAAATATTGTTTAATTTCAAACTCAAAATCATCCACTTAATCTATTGTATTTAGGGATGGCAAAACGACCTGGACCCGGCTCGACCCGGCCTGACCCGGAGCGTTTGGGGCAGGTTTGACCTGCCCCGTTTGTAGAACGGGCCGAGGGGAGTCCGACCCGTTAGAAAAACGGGCCAGGTCCAGGTCCTATCTACTGCCCTGGCCTGACCCACCCCGCCCCGCCCTGCCCCGACCTGGCCCGGATGCTTTGTATAAATAATATTTATATATATATATATAATATAAAGTAATTAGGGTTTAGTTTCATACATTACGGTCTTTACCCTTAGCACCCCTCTTCCCTTTTCTTCTTCTGCAGACTGCGAGGGATTAGAGGAAGGTTTATTTATTTATTTATTTTTTAAATAAACACAATCTGAAGCTTCAATATCTAAATTCAACAAATTGTTCAACATTCGAGTACCAAAACCAAAGTTTTCTGGTTCAAATCCACTGGAAAGGAAAAAAACATAAAACACAAAACTTAGGGCTCCAATCACTTAATATTTCCTGGCGTTCCAACTTGTAAATTGATCTGTTGTAATGCGTCATAATTTGTAATATTTCTCCACAAGCAAGAGCTCACTGCTCAAAATACTCACTTGCGGGCCAGGGCGGGGCGGCTCACCCCAGCGCGGGCCAAGTCGCGGGGCGACATTCTTGGACCCGTGACGGGTCACGGGCCAGGTCGGGGCGCGGGCCTATGGTCGCGGGGCAGGTCCGGGTACTGAACTACTCGACCCGACCTGTCCCATTGCCATCCCTAATGTATCCAAAATAACTCACTTTGACCTATTCTAACCAAATAAATCCGGATCCATATCTGTAAGTCCATCGTCATCATTAAGTTTGATGTCAACTTATATCGACACATATGAATGTGATTTGCGTTAGTTTGCAATGTAGTGGTCTTATCAGATTAACGCCCACTTACTTATATATCTTTAGAAAATGCTAAGATTTTTTAAAATAATTTGAATTTTTTAAAAGTCTTTCAAAATAAAACATTTCTCGAGCACTACTGAAAACCTTTTCCTTTCTAAACTTTTTAAAACAAATTTCTTTCTTTCATTCCTTTCCTTGAAAAACTTAATATAAGCCTCACACTTAGGTTCTTAGGAAAATCATTTCCCAATACTTATATTTAGAAACTTAACCTAAGTCTCACACCTAGGTTCTCAGGGAAATCACTTCCCAAATTTTCACATTCACTTTTCAACAATTTAAGACAAAGCAGATGTTCAAAATACTTAGTCTTAAATGAAAACACAGTCTCAAGATAACAAACTCAGTCTCATTCACAAAGCATAAAATAATGACAAGAGTTTGTAAATGTTGCGGAAAACAAAGCACATAGCATAATTAGACCACCATCACACTCTCATGTCCACAACCAGCTGCTCAACCTGAAAATGATATTTGTGGGGGGTGAGCAAAACAACTAGCCCACTGCACTTAGTAAGAATAATTAACGGATACCATAGCATTAGCATGCAACATAAATAAACTGATCATAAATGCCGCTACAGGCTCTACCCACCACGGGCAGGGTTACAACAAGATTTACCTCTCACAAGCGCTAAAATCTTGGCCCATCACATGCGGAGTGATTTAAGCTTTACCACTCACAGGCTCTACCCATCACGGGCTGGGTTCTAAAAGCTTCGCCCCTCACAGGCTGAGTGATAAATATTTTGCCCCTCACAGGCGTGAATATTCACGTACGATACAACAAAAACAAATATCACAGTAATTAAAAGGAATAAAACATAGCATAGACTTCCCCACCTTATACTTGAATGATGAAATGTGAATGCTTCAATGGGATAATGGAGGGCTCGACTCCTCGAAATTTACAATGTTAGAAGTATGGCTCTTATAAATAACTTGTCTTAACTTGGTAAATTAAATTACCAACTTGAAGAATTTTATTAGCTTAAGGTTCTTGACTTAGTGAAAATTGTCTTAACTTGGAGCTCTCGGCTAAAGGTATTTTAAAGCTCGGGAAAAGGGTTTCGGGATTAAAATTTATGGTCCAACTCAAAAGTACGTCCACGACTCGAAAACAAGTTTGAAGGCTAAAAAGGTGACTCGAGGCTCGTGGCTCGTTGTTGGCTCGGTGCAGATGGCGCTGGTGTAGCCTGACCGCGACTGGTACTTGTCTATCGGGAGCGGAGGCTGCAGGTCGCCTGGGTGCTCCCCTGCTCGACGCGGACCCCTTCCCCCAGTGCTGCAGTTGGCTCCGCGCATGCCTGCTCGTGGGACGGGTCTACGACTGCCTAGGTTCTGGACGTGCGCGTTGACATGGGAAAACGCGCACACACGCTGCGGTGTTGTCACACGGGATGCTGGGCGCTGGGACACTACGCGCTGACTTAGAGCTGGGGGGACGGTACGCGCGCATGGGTGTTGGCAGGTATGGCACCACGCGAGGCGGCTGACGTGCTGCTTCCCGGCACGCTGCACGCCTACGTTAGAATTTTTATTTTCGCCTATTTTAACCGTTGGAAAATGTACTGTTGGTTCGTCAAAATCCAATTAAAATTCCCATGGAAAACTCATTCAACAGAATATTTTTGCTGTAATTTTTGTTGAAAAATTCCAACAAAAATAATAGCATTGCAATATCTATTGAAATTTCATCACATATTTGTAGTGTATCTTAGAAAGAATTATTCAATATTTGTAAAAGTCTATTTCTATTACATTGTTGAATGATCTAACTTTTGGCATATTATATTAATACAAGTAGGTTATCCAAACAAGAAAATATTATTTTTTTCTCTATAAAAAATGTCCTCTCTTCTTTCCAAAACCTCCGCTACTCTTAACCTATTGTTTTCTGGCCCGCCTTCCCCGGCGGGCCGTGGGACATCTTGACGGCGTTCGACTCCTTGTTCTGTGATTTGGCCCCAATTTGATGGCAAAGCCCGTCTTTTTGTGCGATGGTATTTGGTGGCCGCTCCCGAGTAGATCTCACGCCTATCCCTGTGTTGAGTAGATTTTTTTTGGGTATTGGTAACCGAGTTACCCAGCCTCGGGTCGTTCTCAAAGGAAGGCTACTCGGAGCTTCGGTTACTACTTAGTCGTCAAAGTCACACAACCGAAAAGGTCCTAAACATTCTACTCACAAATTGAGGGTTTGAATTTAAACTAGATTAATCTACAAAATGAGAGCAATTGAAAGTAATTAACTAAGCACGCAAGAAGATGAGAGAAATCAAGGGGGAAAGAGAGATTTTGGTTTGTCGGAGTCTCTATGATCAAACACGCACAAATAACCAAACATTGCCATGCTAGCTAAAACCCTAGGAAGCTAAACTAAGCTCTAGCACAAAACGAGCAAGTATTTAACTCATAATCACACTTATTCAAGCATTCTCGATCTAAAGATTCAATCTTTTCCTCCAAGAAACTCAAGCACAATATCAATTTTCGCAAAAGCAAACAAAGATATACGAAGTAATGAGGCTTAAGACTAAATACCCACTCTTACACGCACTTGGAAGGAGAAACGGAGTCAAAAGCTCGAAACTTTACTCGAAACAATGTCGCTGAAAATTCACCAGAAAACTTGATTCATAAGCTCCAAACCAAAACATAAAAAATAGAAAAAGAAAATAGAGAGGATTTTCCCAACTTAAAAGTTGGGAAATGAGGGTTGTGTTCAAAAATACAAAGCATAATGTCCTTATATAGCTACAGCACAAAAACACACTAAAAATACGCACATTTAGTCAAAAACTCGCGAGGTCTCCATGAAATTCGCGACCTCGAGAGTGTGGTTTGGGCAATGGCAGCACGGGGCGCGCGGGCGTGGGCGCAGGGGGGCGGAACTCGTGAGGTCGCGGAACATCTCGCGCGCGCGCGGGGCGCAAAAGGAA